CCCCAAAACCCCAAAACCCCAAAACCCCACATGGCCTCAAAATTATTGAATATAGTTAATAAATTAATATAAATGCAAGGAACTAATAAAGATGCTTTAAAACGAAGATTACGGCACAATCTAGCCAATAATTTGAAGCTTCGTGGAGCAGCCACTCGGAATACTAACAGAAATTTGTCCCATCAAGTCCGACAAAATGATATGAGCTCAAATGGGCGGGATTCTAGTGTGAGGAACCCGAAATTTTACAGGAACAGTAGAGTCAATCTAGACAATAATTCTTCTATCAACTCGGTCCAGAGAAGTAGAAATAGTAAAGCTATTTATAATATTAATCTAACTACAGTATAAACATCTTTGTAAGTGAAATATCGTGTAATTTTGCATAATAATTTTGAGCAACTAGATCACTAAATGTAGAATACTTAAATCCCAAAATTTTGACCATTCACGTGAATATGTGCTAAAATTTACCGAGACTGAAGCCAAGGGTCTTTTTACTGGCTCCTTTTCTTTAAATGTCCACCCGGTTGTCCTTGAAACCGTTTTTGAGGTCATTTTAAAACTTAGGACAAAATAAATGCTAACATGACTGATATATAATTGTCATTCCATGTAATGAATCAGAGACTCTCAGCACATTCTTTAAAATTTTCTATCGTTCAAATCGAACTTTCTTCATAATTTAAAATAGTTTGAATAAAAGTGTATAGTTCTAAGCTTGTAGAACATATTTTCATTGATTAACTTAGTGGTATTTTAACAAATCAGCACTTTGAAAAGCAGGGAAAATTAACACAGTATGCTTATAGGATAAGTCAGGGATGAAATCACCAGAAGTCATGAGCAATAATAGCAGTATAGTGTCCCCTCCTTCTCGCTTCGCTAAAGTAATTCTTATTTTTATGATAACATAGCCACCTACTCGGATGAAGAAGAAGAAATTAATAATGCGAGGAGATTATAATAAGATGAATAGTAACAGAACTATTCAGCTGAGCAATGTAGGAGCCAACAGATCAGTGTCTCCCTTCGTGGGCTCCTCTATTTCTGGTGTTTCACCAACAAAAGCTGTTGATACGTAAGTCTACTTAACTTTATCTGAGAAATAATATGAATAATAATATGGCTCCATACTAAACTAAGCTGATACACAAATTGGTGATGGTTCTCTTCTTTAGTATTTTAAGATTACTCTTGAGCCTTTCAAGATCAATAATAAATTGTATAGTAAGCTTATTCGACAACTTGGGAAGAATAATAAAATATTTTTAAAGTCAGATCCAACATCTTCTATCAAGAGGTATGATTCTTCTTGACCTAAAGCCCAAGTAATTACTCCCGTACATCGATGTTCAGGAAAATGTACTCTCCTACCAAGAACCCCATTTACGATTATAACAAAGAAATGTGTGAGAAGGATGAGGATTTTGACAATATCTATTCAGTAAGATCCTTCTACTACCCATGTCTTAACAACATATAGACAGAAATGGAATTCAGGAAGGACTTTGGTCATCTCCTTCATCCTGAAAACCCAGAAGAGATAAAACTCCGTGAAAATTTAATATGAAAAATAAAGAAGATTTGTGATGAATATGAACTCTCTGATGACACCTTCTTCAGGACAATCTTCATCTATGATTTCCACAGGAGAGTGGTTCAGTCTAAATGGGAAGATAACTGTGTCCTCGAGAATAAACCCCTTAGTGACCTTTTTATCTTTGGTGAAGGCGCCACTGGAGAAAAGAAATTAATGCAATATGAAAAATTCTTCGATATGCTGTCCTGTCTTACTATTTCTATTAAGTATTATGAACATGAGCGAGAATCTCCAGGAGTCAGGCATATTCTCAAGTTCTTCCGAATTGAGAAATTAGTTGTCAAAATTAAGACAGATGAGCCTGAGATTAAGAAAATGACAGACCTATCAGAGCTCATATTTGACATTATTTATGAGTATATCTGAGAAAAACAAACAGAGATTTTATTCATGATTAATTGGAAAATGCAGATTATCAATCCGAAACATTTTATTAATCATTTTGTCAGGATTTTACCTAGTTTGAAAACACTGCAAACTATTGCTTCTCGGCAGAACAAGGTTGTTAAGACAGAGGAATCAAAGGAAAATAATCGTACTGAGAGTACTATTCATCCGTCGAAGGACCTAGAATATTCTCATAAGATATTGAAGGAAGAGATAGAGGACTGAATAGACTCTGTTGCTAAGCTCTCTCCTCTTGTACCTTGATATATTGAGTATAACTGTGCTGAGGTAGCTTCAGCTGCCTTAATGATTTCAATTAAACACTCTGTCAAAACAATACTCAATGAGGGGGATGCTCAGAGAGAAGATGTGAATAAGCTCAAAGCACTCTACTCCAGATGGACTGCAAGTCTATTCAAACACTACTGTATCAGCAAGAGTCGGATAAGCGAATTCTGAGAATACCTAGACGACTTTCTGAATAAAGTCTGTGAGTAGCTATTTTCTATTTTCACGTTCATTAAAACCAGTGAGAGCCAAATAGCTTTAAACCATTTAATGAATATCTAATATATTGACCACATATGTGCTTTTTCGTGCTAGATTGGCTGGGTTTGCCCTCTGAAGGTATTTTAGCTTATTTTCTGCGGGCTTGGGCTTTAGCTAGAATTATATACCTGGAAATGTCTTTTTGATCTTTAGGGATTTTTAAGCTGGTTTAAGTATGGTTAAGATGGGGTTTGAGTGGGTGGCTGTGTGACAAGAGATTAGATAGGTTTTGGGACGTGAGGGTTGGAGTGATTTAGTAAGAGAAGAGTAGATATGGCGAAAAAGAAGATTTAGGCTCATAAGGATCGAATTTCACCTAATATTTTACACATTTCATGCTATATTAAAAAATCTAAGCCCAATTTTGATAATAATCTAAAAAATCATTCCACTTCAATCAAATCTCTAAAATCCGGGGTTTTGGGGTTTTGGGGTTTTGGGGTTTTGGGG